CAAATTGAAAATACATATTTAATCACTGTTGCTTAAAGGCTTATTACTGAGCAAAGCTGCATCTTACAGTTCATGCAGCTACAAAGTCCCTCCCTGTCTTCTGCAAACAGTCCGCTGACCCACAGGGTGCACAGCACTGCCTTTCACACGTGCAGTATTTGTTCTAGTTCAGAAACCGCGACTCACCTGGAGCGGGCTGCTAGGATTGCTTTATGGGCTGGCCGGGGGTGGCCGTCTAGGAGAAGGGTGATATCACAGAATTCAGTCCCAGCTCCTTCTAGGTAAGCCTTCATGTCCTGAATTAAAGATGTTCCTGAAAGGTAATGTAATGAAATAGTTAGAGACATGATAGCTCCAGGTGGCCAGGTGCCATAAAACTCATACATGGCCAAGGCACAGGTCCAGTCCGTCCTTCCTGCGGGACCCTTGGGGTGAGTTTGAGGCAGGCCCTTCCTCATAAACTTGGAGGAAAATGAGCTCCATCCTTCCCCATCGTGATCCATCACTTACTGCCCAGCCCAGAAATAAACTCGGCAGCTCTGCTTTCCAACCGCTGGCAGCAAACACTGGCAGTGGCCACGCTGAAAGCTGTTCTCTATAGAAAAAGAAATCTGATTTTCCCTCACCCTTTTCTTTTCCTTATTTCCAACCACCAGGAATATAAAGTTTTGTCCCTTCATGCAAAGGCTTTCCCAAATCCTCAATAAAGGCTTCTTTTATCCATCACTTTAAACAACCTTTGAAAACACACAGTAACTGAGGAACAGAGCACATTCAAGCCTGGTCCAAATTCACTCACATTCTCAAAGCTCATCTCTCACTGTTTTGCTGTTTGGGTCTCTCCCACCGCTGCAGCGCTGGCTATGGAAGCTGGCTGTGCTGTCTCCCGGGACGGCGCACCTCCCTGCTCCCTGGGACAAGCGCGGCCAAAGGCTTGCTACTTGACCTTCCAGGACCAGCTTCCCCATCTCTCTCTCCAGGCCCCAATTATTTTTGTGCAGTATTCCAAATCAACACTGGCAATGCCTCTGAACTTTGTGGCCTCAGCAAATTTCATTATTATATTCCTCTTTTCGTGTGCCAGGATGATAAAATCTTGAATAAGAGAAGTCCTAAATCAGGCCTTGATGAATTCCATAATAGAATTGTAAATCAAATCTTCTCCCTCCAGCACAATCACAGAATGAAAATGAAAGGCATGACCATTAGGTTATTTATCTTCTCAAAGTCTTCTCCTCCCTATCTTCTGTCCCTTTCTTCCATTAACTTTTCTGTTTCTTGGTTAATTTTTCCATGCTTCTCTCTCTGTCTCTTGCTCTCTTTCTCTCTCTCTCACACACACACTAAAGTCCACCTTGTCAGCAGTGGCTTACTCACAGGATCTTCTTCCTTGCTCCTGCTCCTCTTTGGTTAAAACGTACGAGCAGGCCAGCTCTCCACTCCGCTGTTACCTGCTAGTCCACTTCAACTGAGCGTCCACTGCGTTTCTTTGAATCACCCTTTGCACCCTGCTGTTCCTTCTGCTGCTCCTCCCTCTGAACCGCAGCAGGGTATTTTACTGCAAGCAGAGCACAGCTGGATTTACCGTGACCCCTCCTGTATCTTGATGGGGACACCGTTCTGACTGAACCTCACTGGAAGAAGCACGGGCATGCCCTGTCCTAGCCTGGGACACAGCCTAAGCGCAGTTCTACCAGCTGGAGAATCAGTGGTCTGCAGCCCCCCACTTCCTAGGCTGTTTCCCAGACTAAACAAACCATTAGCAATAAAAAACCTGCACAACTAATTACTTTATAAAGCATAAAAGTTACCGATGTCAAGCGGCTGATCGGAATGTGTTCGAACCGGAGGTTGCTGTTTTCTCCGTACAATCTCCACTATGAGGGCTGAAGAAAGATGCTCAAACTCCTTCATCATTATTACCTGGTTAAAATGTGATTCCTTCACCACAAAGTTCAGGCAATGTTCCTTAAAAAAACCACAATATTAATAAAAGAAATATGGTTTACTGTATTAAGTCATCCTAGGGCATCACATAAACGTTAGCACGGTACAGGTGTGAACAGCCATCCCTTCCTTCCGACCCTCCCCATGGATCCTGCAGCTGGAACCATCAAACAGCGACCTCCTTCCTACGCGACCATTCAGGCTCTTACTGGAACAGGAGCTTCAGGACCATTCTAAGCATCTAGAAAAACCTGACTCAGAAATATTAACAAGGAAAAGATTAATTGTCTCCCATCCAGCCACGCTGAAGCTTTCTAAAATAGGAATCTCAGGAGATGCTGAAAACCTCATGATGCTAAGATTGGTTGCTATCGCATAATAATTCTTTATACAATTAGATACCAAAAGTTAATCAGAAGGGTGAAGAGATCTTAACACTAGTCATTAAGGGTACACTCAGTTTGCAGGATTTCCTTGTGTGGATTTTGCCTTAACCTTTTCTGTCGAGGATACAAACGGTCTGGAAGAGCTCTCGCAGGTTCCTGTACGACGGACTTGCTAGGAAAACCAGCGTGGTGGAAAGGCGCCCAATGAACCCGACCTAATGCTGAGCAGTTCAAGGGACACAAAATGGCACTGCACATGCCAGGGTGAATCACGGCTCTCCCTCAGGAGACTTTAATAAGCAAAAAACATAATCTATACCAGCTCACCGTAAGGCAAGCACAAAATCGACCCAAAGAATAATTACTACTGTCTGTTTTCTGCCAAGTCATTTCACCTGGGACCCAAAGGGGTCTGCCAAGGACCCTTCTGTAAAATGTGTTAAGCAATGCTAGGCTGCCAGAAAGAGCGGCCTTCTGCAGATGGCCCCTGCCCACGAGGACGAACGCGCACTTGAGGAGAGCGGATGCCAGCGCCGGGGGATCCTGACCAAACGGCGCTGTGTGGAAGGGCCCTGGTTGCTCTGCTGGCAGCGACGGCAGGCGGAGGGAGCCGGCCGAGCCCAAATTATTGGCACTAGATCCACCAACGCTGAGATGCTTGCTGGAGCTTCTGGGCAGCTAATAGCAGCACGGTCCTACGCCCCACAAGCTGTGCCAGCATTTACATACGTGCTGCTGACTCTGCTGCTGTCCTCCTGGATGCCTTTCCCTTGCCCATATCCAGTGCATAAGGAGTGCCTGAGGACATGCTGGTGCAAACTGGTTTCTCTAGCCTCACCCTGCTTGCAGCCGTCAGTTATGTGGCCATCTGACGTCCACAGGTGGCTCAAATAGCCATGGCATGATGTTGGACTTGGGTGGAGGAGCTGCTTCTCCACAGCTTTATGTAGAACTGGCTCTGGCCACGGCTGGTGGGAACCAGACCATCACAGTGCATCACGATCTGAAGCCTGCGGGTATCGACTCCACCACGCAAATGCCTAAAAGCCCCTGATCCACTACGCAGAGAATCGCAGACACATTTTGTTTTCAGTAGAGTGTTTCTCATGTCAAAGTCAAAAGAAAAGAATTTCAGTTTTCTGTCAGAACAGGTGAAAGAACCTGTTTGCAGCCTCTGTATAAGAGTGGGACCAGAAAATGCACTGGTTCCAGCTTGCTGCCGTGAGAGTGAATTGATGCAGAGCCAAAGTCACTCCGCCCTTTACATCCTACAGGGCAGATATGTAAAAATATCAAACACTTGGTGAAAAAAAACCTACATAACATTCAGGAGCAACTGCAGGACAATGCACACTAACATAAACTCAACTATAATTACAGGAAAGAACTGAATCTGCCAAAGCTGATAGCTTTTGCAAAACATTAATTACATACATTTTATTTTTTAAAATTTCCTATCAGTCACTTTGTATGCAAAATGTGATTACCTTTAGCTGATCCAGCTGCAGCTTGTTAGCATTTTCACACACAATGAGCACATTCTGCAGGTCTACAGATGCCTCGATATACTGAAGGCAGAGCTGTTCCAGTCGAGAGAGCTTGAAGTTTAAGGCCAGTTTGTACACATCCATAATAAGTAACACATCCTGCACATGGCCTGAAATCACAGGAGACAAAAATGCTGGAGCACTCACAGAACAAAAAGAGGAACCTTTCTCAAAGTATTTCTCTTTACATCAACCTGAGCATTCGGCATGGCAGAATGGGCGGCGAGCAACTGGAGTATTTTTATGGAGAAAAAAATTCCATTGCTGGTTAGACAAAATCTGAACTGCTACTAGAAAAGGAGTTTCAAAATTGAGGACCCCAAAAGATTTTTTGGACAAAGATTTTACGACAATCTGAATGACAATTTTTTAAAACCCTCAAAAGAAAGTGGAGTCTCCAAAAGCACTGACAAACTCTGCAGCTGGCAGCCCGATTTTGCAGAGCGCTCGGCTGCTAACAGCTCTGCTGGGGTCTGACGCAGCCTTAGCCAGCAGCTCCCTGACCGTGACAGACCCTTATGAAGGCACTCTGTGCTCGTGTGTCTGAGGCCGGTCTAGAAGAGAGGGCTGCAGTGAGACAGGGGCAGTGGGGACTTCACAGGCCACTGCAATGGGGCTACTGGGACACCAGCTCCTGGAATAATCCTTCACAGCCTTGGCTTTCCTCACAGGAGATCTCTGGCCATCTGCTCTAACTACTTTTTGATAGAGAAAAGCCTTCTTGCACGCCACGTGCCTTCCCTGCGTCTAGCTGGAAAATCCCATTTGATAGGCATGCCCGGTTCCGTTCGCTTAGCCTCGGGATGGGTCCCCACGGCGCCGCGCTCCGAACCGCGAGGAGCAGCTAGGAATACAGATGGTCAGGCCAGGGCCACTGGAGGATCCCAGCAGCAAGGTAAGCACCAGGGGGAAGGTTTGATGGGCCGGGGGTAGGGTAGCAGGCTGCCTGGGGAGCTGTAACCAAGGAAAAGAGCTCAGTATGGTAACTGTTTCCTTGGTCTGATCCTGTCCTGAAGGAAGCACACCATGAGGGCCAGCGAACCAGCTGAGACGGCATCTGGCAATGTCAGCAGACACCAGTGGGAAGGTTCCCTCGCCCCCATTAATTAGGCTTGCCCTCAGACAGGCCACCTCGCAGGGAAAGCCTTGGGACAACTGCATACAAACCATCATTTTCCTGATAATTACCTTTTACAGAAAGGAAAGATCCTGGGCTGAAACCGAAGCCAAGCTTTCGGCGTTAGGACAGGCGTACGTCGCTTTACCTGCCTGCGCCGCTCCAGCCGGAGCTCCCCAGCCTGGCTCCCGCAGCCCAGCTGCTGACGGCCCGGAGCTGGACGCGCCGTGTGGGAGCCGGGAGGTCTCTGCTTTCACCTCCCAGCCTGCCAGCGTTTTTAACTCGGGGATCTTCAACGAATGCATCAAATGGATTTCTCCTTCCCTGAGGCATTCCTTTGGACTGGCATTTTGAAGAGATGACAAATACCGGCTTGCTCTGCCTTTCTGTGTGGGCTCAGTTTGCATCGGATCAAAACATTACCAGGAAAAAAGAAATAAGCCAACCCAGGATAGACGGTCCTTCCAGGCAGGCTGCTGTAATGTTCAGAATACCATGAAATTTTTGCTTGTTTGTTGGGGGTTTTTTAATACCTTTTGGAATGATCAAGAACCTGCTTTTCTGTGATGTTTGAAAAAAATTAGGAAAAAACAAAGCACTGTTACTATGCTTTGATAGAAATCTGGGATTTTTTTATCTCAGGCGAGTAATTCAATGCTTAGAGCAGGACTGATCATCTGCAAACAGCTGATCCTGCTCTGTATCAAAACAAATGTTTGCTCCCTGGGTGCTAGTATTTTTTTATCTTCCTGTCCTACCTTTGCGAGGGTATTTTATTTTATCCGTATATAGGAACTGCATGAGCACCTCGAAGGGCTGCGCCTCGGCCTCTCGGATGGGCACTTCCAGCAGCGGCTGCAGGCGGCACAACTTGACATTCCCACCAGCCCCATCCTTCTGACACGTCGCGTGTCCCTCGTCTTCAATATCTTGCTTTGATTTCTAAGGAGACGGAACAAACACTCGCACGTGGCAACAAGGCTGTGTCAGCTCACGCAGATTAAAATCAAAGCAGAGGAAAGATCCTTTTCATGACTGCACATTCTTCAAGACCCAAGATCTCTTCATCTTCGAGATTATCTTCAAGAAAACAAGGCATTCATACGTCTTAGACTTACTGCCCCATAGCCTGTGACAAGCACGGATCAGAACAGATGGGAGCTCCTGGATAAAGCTCAAAAGCAGGACCTCAGAAAAAGGGAGGAATGAATTCCACTGAGCTCACGTTTCTGCCCTCAGACGGAACCGAGGAACCGCGTCTCTCCTTGGAGAAGAAAGATGTCAGAGCAGGTTCCCCAGACCCCTGCCTTGTGAGGTCAGAGCTCAAAGTGCTGCACAGAACTATTTTAAGCCATTCTGCTACTTCTAAGTTTCACTTCGACTGCCTTTTCCAGAGAATCTGGAGGGCTGCAGGATGGCAAAGCAATTAATTAAGAGGCAATGAGGCATCCATACATCTTACTGCAGGTTGTGTGCTACCCATTCCTCAAGAGCAATAAAATGTTTGCTGCTGAAAAGCTGTAAGTAGTTAAAATTAATAGACAATGAACCAGAAGCACCTGACCTTCAACTCTGGAAAAAGCAGGAAATACTACGGTAAAGGGAACAGAGCCAGCCTCAAAATCTTAACACTTCCTTCCCTCTCATCTGTCTGATCCTGCAGGCCATCCCCGACGACACGAGGGAGGGGTACACACAGACCCCCAGGGGGATTCTGCGAGAAGTCAGACAGCTACGAGCGCTCCCAAGAACCACACCGCCAAGTCCAGGGAACTGGATTTACTTTGGCTCCTCCATGTTACACTCCTCGCCTGGCCTATTACACATCTAGCAGCCTATGTTAACATGAGTTATCCTCTTTATTTTAGTTGCCCAAGAGCACCTTAGCATGAGATGCTGCTCCAACCCTACGTCTATTTTAGCAAAAATTGGTTTTCCCTGACAATCTTAGTTCCAGAAGTGGGCAGAATAAGCATCACCTTGCCACAAGATTACTTCTCCAAAATACTCACCTGTTTCAACCTCTCCCTTGCCTGTATGATTTTCTTTTTCAGCCACTTGCAGCGAGCTGTAACAATTGCGGTGTGGCCTCGGACTCGTTCTTCCTTCTGTCAAAGGCAAAGGAAGAAGACATTAAACTTCTATTCCCAGATCACACGGTGGTGGCAGATGGCAGAAGTCGCAGAAACCTGGGCTGAACTCCAGGCTGCTATACATTTAGTTTAAGTTAAGAATCAAAGGCAGCGTTGCATCTGCTCTGCACATACAGATGAAATTCAACACCTATTTTCCCTGCAGGCTCATGGCAAACACCATTTGGAGAGAGTCTTGGTTACGTTCACCGAGTGGGAGCTGTTCCGTAGGTTCAGTGTCACAGATATTGCTTTTTATTGTTGCATCTGGTTTTTGGCTTAATTTTCTCTTTTCAAAACACCAATATGTTTCTTTGCTATTGTTCTTCATAATCTACTTCATCTGTTGCTGAGGATCTGTTCTCAGATCTCTGCAAGTGTTTTATAACTTTTTTTTTTTGCAAAAGGAATGCAGGTAAGTTCAAATTTCTCATGTTTTTCTTCAGAAAACATGTTCTTTTTAAAATTTTATAATTGTTTTCATTACTAAAGAGTCATTCCCCTGTGCTGCTTCTTCTCCTTCTATTTTATTTGAGTAATTAAAAATGGCTCTTGAAATGATACACGGATCTGCAAACCACCGAGCTGCTCTTTCCAGGAGACAGTGGGGACCTCGGAGCACAGAGGTCATTAGTAGCGTTTTCATATTGCAACTACACATAACACGCTCTGATAAATTCTGGTTATGTCTCAGTGATCCTCAGATCTTCTCAATTTAAAAGCTTCTTCTCCTTTGCAGCTTTAGAAATTTATCCAGATTAGTGTAACTTGCTAAACCAGACAGACATCGTTTTCACCAGTGACGCTGCTCTTACAGCTCCATTCCCAGGGCCTCTGGTACAATCACTGCACACTTTGCTTTTTCCCAGTGAGCACGCCACACATGCAGCAACACCCCCCCTGGCACCTTGTCAACAAATTCTGCTTACCTCTCCCAAAACAAACTCCAAGTCACTGAACTGCCTGTTTTCCCACAGCCTCCCGTAATCTTCATGCAGAGTGCATTTAGGGTAACAAGAAAACTAGAAAAAGAAAACCGCACAGAAGACAGAACTCATTTCAAACGGCGATATCCAAAAGCCCTGCAGTTACACATACTATCACTGGATTTTCTCATTAACTTGACCCCATGTAGTAGATACAGAAGAAAATAACAAGCAAACCAAACTCATGCAAGGGCTTCCTCTGTGGGGAGGGACGTGAAAGCCAGCGCAGGGTAACAAGGAAGAATGGGGTCTCGTCACAACCTGCAGACTTCAGGAGCTGGTGGCCAGGAACCTCGCCTGCTCTCAGGATTTGTCTGAGGCTCCCACACAATAAAAATAAACTGGAGCGGAGGAGTAACGTGACCTGGTGTGAGTATCTTGAAATTTAAAATTCAGAATTCCCATGGTTACTGGAGGGGTGGGAGCAGGAGTGCTGCATGAAGATAAAACCTCAGCAGAACACGCTCTGACCCAGGAACCCCGAACCTGACAGTCCGCACAGAGGAACAGTCAATTTTCAGTTCAACATTCTACTAAGTCCTCTCTGATACACTTTTCAATAATTTGTCAAAATAAGTTGTCATGGTCTCTGTTAGGACTTCAGACGGCACTGGAGAGCATGGCCTTACCAAAACATCTGTCCAGATAACATTTCTCAAAAGATTTAAGATATACATTAATCTCTGGCAGCCAAATCGGAATCGCAAAGGCTTCCTGCAGGAAGGACGCGAAACGAAGCCATCAAGCTCATGGCAAGCCAAAGCACAAACTCTGCCGCGTCCGGAGACAGAGCCAGGGGGATTCCCGCAGGACTGGTGCGGACGTGCGAGCTCCTTTATCAGCCAGTTACCTGGAACCTGTACATTTCCCCACTTCTGATGTTATTGTCCACTGTGCCGCCAAAGATGTACATTGCATCTGAGATAACAGCTGCAGCGTGGAAGAGTCTCCCACTGGGTAACTGGGGAAAGAAAAGGACAAAATAGGCCAGGGAATAAATAAAAGCCTTTTTTTCTCCGGAGAAAAAAAGACCTGCAACAGATCAACAGTGAGAAGGGACATTCAATGTAGTCTGAAGCGACACAAACACTTGCATCCTAATATTGACATTTATTATATTTTACAGAATCCCAGAATCCCAGCATGGCAGGGGCTGGAAAGGACCTCTGTGGGTCACCCAGCCCAACCCCCTGCCCAAGCAGGGTCACCCAGAGCAGGCTGCACAGCACCGCGTCCAGGCGGGGCTGGAATATCTCCAGAGAAGGAGACTCCACAGCCTCCCTGGGCAGCCTGGGCCAGGGCTCCGTCACCCTCAGAGGGAAGAAGTTCTTCCTCAGGTTCAGCTGGAGCTTCCTCTGCTTCAGTTTGTGCCCGTTGCCCCTTGTCCTGTCACTTATAAGGTCCCCTCTCAGCCTTCTCTTCTCCAGGCTGAACAAGCCCAGCTCCCTCAGCCTTTCCTTGCAGGAGAGATGCTCCAGTCCCCTCCTCATCCTAGTGTATCTAGCACAGACCTCCCAGTCACATTTAAAAACACCTACTCATTGCACCTTCTAATCAGAACAGTATGTCCACAGGGCTCTAAATATCATGAGAGTTACAAAATTTACCATTTACCAAACTCAGACTCAATGCTCAGTTTTATACAGAAAAATAAAACACACTTCTAGAAATAAACAGATTCTGCAAATGTGACCACTGTGCAAACTTCTTCCAAATATTGTGGGAATGTGAAAGGTAAGCGATCACCTGCCCCAGCAGGACACTGAACTCCAGCCCTGTACACACACGCCCTCCCGCAGCAAGCGGGGCTGGACCAGCTGGCTCGCGAGCCCCCCCAGCAACACCGGATCCCGCACAGGAGCCCGAAGATGGAGACGTTTACAGCACGGAGTCCAGTCTCCTCTCTCCATCACGGCAGGCCCACAGAAAAGAAAGCCTCCCCACGCCGCGGGAAGGCCCAGCGATTCACAGGACGGAGGGACCGCAGCACCCCGTGCCACACGCGCTTCCCCTTGCAGTCGCAAAATGGGGCGATTTCTGAAGAGGGAAGGAGTCACTGCAAGCCAAAGCCGCCATCAGCCTCCTGCACGGGACAAACGACACCATTTTTACCCATTTCTTCTGAGGTTACACAAAAGAGATCTGATCAAATTAGCACATCTCACTGACATATCTCACATAGAGTCTTTAAGTGGTAGTAACTTCAGTTTTTTTCTAGTCTGATCAGGCTTGTTTTGTCTTCCAGGCAGCAAATCTCATTAAATCTTTGCCTATAAAATAAAAAGCCCGCTGGTATAAGAAATCTTCTCTTCTCGTACATATTTATAGACACCACTCAAGTAAACTCAGACACGAAACAAGATTATGTTTATCTGGAGAGGCATATTTTCCAGGAAACCATGCTGACTGGCATTTTTCAATACCGCCGAATTATCCCTTTTACCACAGCATCACACAACGGTCTCATTTAGCTTGTTACTCACCAGACTTTCCATGACTTTCTCCTCTCTTCAGACGACAGCTTTGAAGGATACAATCCCCCACGCAGTAACTAGAACCTGGTTGGGTTTTTTGTCAGACGTACAAACCACAGATTTGGTCACCTTAAAATGCAGGCCTGCCTGCGCCAGTTTAACGAGCCATCTCGATTCCTCCGGATAAACAAGATGCCGTCTGTCTCCGGCATGCTTCATGGCTACTTTATCAAAGAAACTTTAAAGTTGATGCTAATAAATACTGTGATGGGAAGATTATGGATTAATATTGATCCATTAGTACATTCCCGATGGGCTCCTGTTCAACACCTCTCCAAAAGAGGATGAGATTACTGTCAAATATAATTTATTTTATATGGCCTCTATTTGTTCTTAGTAGTAATCTCATTAATTAAATAAGATGTACTGACCGAAAAAATCAAATGTGTTACAGTAGTCTAAAAATACATCAGTGACCTTTATCAACTGGACCTCCAACCTCACCCCGAAATATGAAATTTGCTTGCCAAGATCTATTTCTACACTACTGGACGGGCTGATATCAGCTGTATTATAGTATCTTTTTTACAACTGACTCTCCAACCAAAACATTTTAAATAAAAAGAACTATTCTGTCAGAGATCAAATGCAGGCCGCCCGGTTTATACTTATTCAGGTCATTTTCCCTGCCCTTTTTTTTAAATAAATAATACTTTAGCTTTGTTTTTGATTGAAATAATTCTCAATATTCTCTAGTAGTTGCTTTTATAAAGCAGCCATTGTATTTAACAACCACATTTTTTTTTCAGTCAAAAAAACTTGCAGCATTTTAACAATCGGTGCCAGAAAGGAAACATGAATCATCCGAGTATTTAACCAACTAACACCACACTTACTAGTGACATCTTATTTAACTCCAACGATCTGTAAGGAACGTTATAACCATGATTTTTCATTCGTAAAGGTTGGTATCGGAGTGGTCAAGGATCCAGAGCTTTGCCACTTACTAGCAACTTCAGCAATCAAACAACTCTACTTTTTCAATACATGTATCGCATTTTTCAAGGGAGTAGTAAGAGAAATGTAAAATACGGAAGGCTGGCCCAGAAAAAGGCAGGCCATGTAGAGTTCATCAAAACACTGTGCAGCTGAGGGTGTCAGGGTGTTCGTTTTGCCGAATCAAAGAGCAGAATTCAAACCCTCACGCGGCGACGGCAACCCTGCCCAGCCGTGAGACACCGGCACCACCGCCACGGGGAACATCGCTCTGCCCTCCCAGGACCACGGCTCTGGGCAGAGAGACGCTTCGCCCCAGCGCAAACCTGGGGAGCTGGGTCCTCAAGGAGAAAACATTCAGGGTAAAAAGGTTAATAGAGCTCAGGAGCACAAACAGCTGGAGAGACACAAACAGCTGGAGAGACGTGCTGGGCTCCACGTTCCTCAGCTACCAGCTCCAGACGCCGAAAGCCTGCCCCATCTTGAATTTTCTGTCGGGAGACCTCCCAAGCTGCCAAATCCAGCTGCTGAATACACTAACCCAGGCAGAGTTTATAAGGAACAGATATGAAATAATACTTATTTTGCTAGTCACGATGGTCAGATATCCTCCCAGCATGGGATTCTGCGGAGAAAAAGGGTCCATAAGGGAATTCACAAGAACGGAGACACAAAGCTATGCCCCGCATGCCAAATTCAGCAGTCCAGAACCGTAGGGTGGAGCTACGTGGGTTTATTTTAAACACCAGAGAGAACAGCCATCGCTCTGCTCACCGTCACACGTGCTGGTGAAACCATGTGGTTTGTCCTGCCTAAGGCCGAGATACTTCAGGTGGCTCGTAACCGACCAGAAGAAACGAATCTGAGCTTCTTTTCTGCAGGTATTTCTATATCCATGTCTTTCTCACTACTGAGCAAAGCCTTACCCCCGGTACCAGTGCACAGAGCCAAATCTGGTTTGATGAAACCCTAAGAAGGTCAGTTGATGCGCGGTGGGACAAGAATCACTGTCTGGAATAGAGCAAACTGCCAGAGATCTGAGAACACCAAACCAGTATCAAGCACTACAGGGTTGCAGCCACTGGATCACGATCCCCTGTCAGAGCCTGGGAGAGCACAGAAACCCCGATTTCCAACACACAATCACTCTACTACAAATCATTCTGCAGGTGAAGAAAGGTGCACCATGGTTCTTCCTGTTCAAGCTATTCCTTCCCTGCTGTAATTTAAGCATTAATCACATTAACTCTTCTCCTCCCATTAGATAAGCAGAAAAGAGCTCCTCTCCCTCCTTCCCACAGTAACCATTCCTGCACTTCGAAATCTGCACTTCACCTTTCAGCTTCCCGTCCCTAGGCACCTCCAAATCTTTCAGCTTTTCAGCGGGGTTGTGTTTGCCGATTGCTCTCACAGCTTTCCTACGGATTGTCCCCACGGGTCGGGTACTTGCATCCCATCCATCGGCACAAGCTGCAGTCCATTAGAACTGCCTTCGACAACACGTCTGTCACTCCAGCACACGGTGAGTGACTCCTGCTCGCCGCGCTGCAAGCCAAGGTTACGGTGAGGAACTGCTGCTCTCGGACACAGCCAGCGTAGGGTGAATGTGAAACTAAGCCTTTGCTTTGCAGTAGAACACATTTAACCTAATTTCTGCTTTTTACAAGCACAGCCTAATCAACTGTCCCACATCCTGCTTGTGACATAGGAATGTGTTGGCCATCCTCATCGTACAGTTGGCAAAGAGGCTCAAAGAAATTGTATTCATTTTCTGAGCTCATAAAGAAAGACTGCAGCAGACGAAGAGCATGTGCGCAGTCTGCAGGATCCCTTTCAGCTGCCTGCTCTAGGTAAAATGTTAAGGTTATTCTGGTACTTTCTGTGTTCTAAGTCCGGCTGCTAAGGCTCTGAATCTGCTGAAGAGCTGCCAAGTAATGAACATACACTTCATGCTATGAATCTGTCCGGGGATGTTTTGGACAGTTTTCTTGGGACGTCCTCTCGCCCTCTTTTCTCCCAGCGTTTCACCGTGGCAAGCTCCAAAGTCCTGCCGGCAGTGACACCACTGTCCCTTCGCAGTCCCAATAAACTCCTTTTAGACTTGGCCATGTCCTAAATTGCTAGAAGTCAGCGCTCTCCTCCTGCTGCTCATTGTTTCACTTGAAGGTAAAACCTTTCCAGTGTCACCCATCCTGGTCTGTCCTTCGGCCCTTACCCATTAGCTCCCAGCTGGCTCAGCACCCACCCCAAGGCAGAGCTGCCGGCACTCCTTTGCACGGAGCACAGGCGCTCCTCCTCACCTTCCCAGCCTGGCCTTCTGGCAGTCTCACCATGCCCAGCAGCATGGCCAGAGCTCGGCAGCTGTGCACGACCTTCGGACTCCTCCTGTCGCCTACGCCACACACGCCTGCGGAGAGGTAGCTGAGATGAGCTGTTCTCACCAGGGGAGAGCAAGAGCTTTCCCAGTCCTGTCGCCCACCAGGCGCTTCCTCCCGTGCCTTAACTTCTCTTCAGATGATGACAGCCCTTCCCTGATGGCACCTCCACATAAATACTCCAGATAACAGTGAGAACTGCACTTGGGATTATAGTGATAAGCAGAGCCATTACACCGCGGAGCCAGGCCTGTGTTAGGTACGCTCAACGATGAAGGCATACCAGTATACCTACTGGTGAGGTCCTCCTGATACAGTAACAGCAGCTACCGAAGACCAGCACTGTGCAAACACAGCTTGAGTCCGGCAGGTGACATAAGCTGTGCAAAACTACACTTCTGATCCGCAGTAACTGCAAAAGGGTTTCTGCTGGCGCAACTCCAGATGGTCGCGTGTGAATCCAAAGGGCTATCGTCCTCCTCGCGCCCAGGGCACAGGCGAACGCTAAAAATCACAGACCAAGCTGTGCTGGCAGTCTGAATCTATCCGTCAGCTCTAGATCCCATACTCACCTCTCACTCAACATGATCTCCTTACTTTATTAGCAGTGCCTGACAAAAAGAATTTGATTCTACCCTGACACCTCTGATGATCCAGGCTGGCATCCCCCTCCGAGATACCCTGCCTGCCTCATCTGTTGAAGTGCTCTCTCTATTTAAGGTTAATGAGATTTGCAATCTGAGGCTCTTTTCAAGCTGGGATCTTTGCTTTCAAAAGCAGATCTCATCAGTCAGCTTTGCTTCCCTTTCAGGATACCCTTCCCCACTGCCAGCATGATTCCAGCCATTGTTTCCAAAATTCAAGTATTTCAGAAGTGTGGGGTTTGGTTTTTTTTGGCATTTCTTGTGCCCAAAACTCACTCCGCACTGTGTCTAGACAGCACAAATGGAGGTTGTCCTGTGATGCTCACCAGGGTTCTGATCTGACTTACAACGCTGTGCATTAGTGTTGCTTCTCCCTATGCTAGAGTGCCCGGCAGTCATTCGAATAGTTGAGATTACAGCCCTGAGCATCATCTCTGGGGCTGATTCCACAGACTTTAAAATAAACTTAGTGAAACCTGTGCAAATCTCTACATAAACTAATTGACTGAAATTTTATCCTCACCAGGAATACATTTGGCTTCACTTGACATCCTTAATAAATTAAGTTGAATCAATGTAAAAGCAAAATTAAACCAAATGAATAGTTTCCACTCAGGGGTCAATACTCATTTTCTATATGCAATTTAGAACTGGCATGTACAGAGTCCAGGCTTCAACGGTTCTTACATCACAGTTTAAGCTGAAATGGCTCAAGATAAATGTCAAGAAGAGAAAAAAGGAGTGGAGGAGAAAAAGCACATATGAGGCTGGAATTTACTACTCTCTCTTGGAATAAATTTAATTTGCATTTTTTAAGTCTTTTTCACTTCCAAGTGTTTCTTTATTTACCTCTGAGTCTGCTGTGGGTGGTTGTTTAATTGCTGTTATGCCGAAATCTAAACCAAATACATCCCGAGATTTTTTTAAACCTCGTTCTTCCGAGGGCAAGGACGGAGCTTCTTCTGGGGCAGATACTCTCTCCGCCACTCCTGGATGGGACACCTGGTTACAAGATTTAAAAACAACAGCATGTAAAAGTACAGACGGGAGGCATGAGGGACTGGACGTGGAGCAGGAGTCCCCCTGCGGCTGGAAACATTGTGCCCATGTCTCCAAAACCTTCAGGATCTGTCCAGAGAAAGCCCATCGCTGAGAGTGAACAATTTCACAAACCGGTCATGCTGCTTTCTTACGGTTTTTACCATGACAGAGGCACACCGCAATTAAAATCTTAAGCACTAATTGCTTTTTGTCTGCCCTCTTCCTCCCATGGTTCTTCACAAGGAGCTGAGGGGTTTGTTTACTGCAAGTAGGAAGAATGCAGATCAGGAACAAAGATGGCAAAGAGACAGTATCTGTCAGCCATTCCCGCAGTCGGAGACAGACTTCCCACATTCTGGCTTGCTGCAGAAATGGGGCAGATGGATCACCACAACGTGACAACCTGTACTTTGTGTCAAAGCTGACTAACGCACTTGGAAGACGACAAAGTCAAACCTTTTCTACGGCTGACACGTTACACCACGGCGTAACAACATGCAGAGAGCTAAGGCAGCTGCTGCTCTGCCGGGGAGCCACGCGCTGCTCAAGGGCCAAGGTTCCGCTGGCCCTGCTCGCGGTCCAGATGCAGCTCTTCTGCACTCCTGTCAAGAGATCTGGGTCAGGCACAAAAATGCGACTGTCTTGTAGTGAGATCAGTTCTCTTGGTTGCACAGAATACGTTGGCCACACTATTACCACAGGCTGGGACTACCTGTTGCTGTCAGTGTTCATCTTCCATCTCGTCTTCACTTCTCAAAGCATTTCTAACCTGTTTTCAGTGCTCTTTCAGACTGAATTTTCAACACTGTGTGTAATATTCAGAAACAGCTAAAATAAAATCCACTGCAGTTGTTTCAAGGCTCTTCTTTCTCATTCTCTCAGCTTCTCAGGAGCCTTTTCATATTTACAGAATAGATTTATCATTGTGTAACTTTTAACTGCCCTCACCCTCACCTATGAATAAGGAAGCTGATCATTGCACTGAACTCCAAAGCCAGGAAAGCTGCGCTCAGATCTCCTTCACAATCTAGGAACATCGATGAGCTTCTCAATCCTCCAATACCACTAAAAACCCTAAGCCAAAATGAAATAAAATGACCTAAAGCCATCAACAAACAAACCTGGTGAACCAACATAAACTCAAAGGTAAAGAAATTACCTATTTGTCTTCTGAAACTGGAAGAAAACCATAAGCTCAAACAGGTCCAAATGAGATGTCACTACTGGTAGCTGTTCGTACTCCAGAGATGCTTCTACATTATCATGCCCAGAAACAGCACGAAGCTCTCAAACAGAGGGGCAGACAGAGTGCTGGATATTCGCTGAGTTCAAGGAGGTTTAAGGATTTAAAATGTTTTCACATGCTGGGTGCAGAAAATCTGTATGCTTTCCAGACAAAATCGGAACAGACTCATTTCAGAGCGGACTTCAAGACACAGAGCTCTGCAAATGAACAAAGAAGGAGAAGGCAAATGCTGCAGGGCTTCATTCTGCCTCTCCTTCGACAGTGATTCCTTCCAGATTATGGCAATGGACTCACCTATCCCAGGTACCTGAGAGTAAACAAAGAGCCGTTTATAATTCACAAAGCACCTGTTCCAACCCAAAGCATTCTATGATTCCAATACTTTCAAAAGTCTGGCACGGTATGAACCTAGGAACACAGCCTGGGCAAAGGCTTCCTTCACCTGTAGGAAGGAGCATCCAGCTAACCCTGCGCCAGGCAACTGCACCTCCCTCCCGAGAAGGTTATGGAGCAAATACTCCTGGAATCTGCTTCCACCTCATGAAGGAGGTGATTGGGAACAGTCAGCAAGGATTTACCAAGGGTAGACTTTTCCTGAATCATCTGATCCTCTCCAACAAAACGCCGAATGGCTTCACAGATTAGAGGAGGGCACTGTGTTCCCAGCAAGCCTGTGGCTGATACCAAACTGTCCGGAGCGATGGAAATGCTGGAGGCTGCTAGTCTAAAGGACTTACCTAGGCTGGAAAAACAGGCTGATGGGAACCTCATAAAGTTCTGCCAAGTCTTGCCCCTGGGACAGAGTAATTCCTTGGAGTGATACAGGCTGGGGACTGGCTGTCTAGAAAACAGATCTGTAGAAACAAACCTGGGAGTCCTGGGGGGCAACAAGCTGAAGAGACGGCAGGGGAACACTGCGGAATCACGAACAGCGGCATCCTCAGCTGTATCGCAAGGGTGTAGCCAGCAAGCTGAGGGAAGGGATTTTTCCCCCTCCGTTCAGTATTCGTAAGACCACATCTGAAGTACACTGTCCTATTTTGGGGTCTCCAGTACAGGAAAGGCATTGACCTACATGATATATTTGACATACAGCATGCCTGCTCTTGTGGTTCTCAGACTTCCTCCTGTTCTTTAACATGCTGCAGGGCTGGGAGCCCATCTTAGCTCTTGTTACGATGAAAATTTAATTTACCTCTAAGACGGAATTTTAGCCTTTTCCTTCTTATTTCCCTGATTGTACCATACAAGAAAACAGGGAATAAAAGTCTACTACAGATACCTGGAAAGGACCTCATCAAAGGCTATTTCCATTCCTCTGCCCCAACCAGGGTCAACGACACCCATTTCATTCCAGAGAGAGGTTCATCCAGCCTGTTCTTGAAGACTTCCAGCAGTAGAGACTTCTCAAAACTTCTCATGAAATCTTCAACACTGCACTACTGTTAACAAGTCAAAAATATTTTGTCTGCAACGTATCTATTGAGATCATCATAACTATAGTGCCAACATAAATTCACCTATAGCAGCTTAACAACAGTGTAAAGCGGAGGATCACCTCAGTAAGTACCACCTCCTCACACAAAGCAGTTAATGCAGAAGAGGGATTGTCATGGATTGTGGCAGAGGATAGGAAGTTGAAGACAGTGGACATCATCTGACATTCCGCTCTACGCTGAAGATGAGATTTTTCCATTCGACATTCACTGGAGAATACAGCACGGAGACAGGGAAGTTAGCTCTTGAGCAATGACGTTCAAACACGTGCTGTTATCACTGCAAAGGTCAGAGCATGAGACAATCTCTAACTTCTTTACAGCTGGAATAACAGTAAACTCTCCTTCCTTTAAAATAATTTTAATATATCATTTGCAAATTTAAAAAGTAGTGTTAATGTATAATCCACCAGAGAATATTGGGCACAGTTTAAAGGGTAAATATTGCCAAATCCCACAAACGTGTTTCAAATGATCATACACTGAAATCTAACAACAGATGACAAAAATCAAATGACCAACCATTTGCTTGTGGTGTATACTCAAAAATCAAATTACCATAACAGCACTTTTGGGATCTTAATCTGACTTCCTGCATGAAACAACCTACAAGGCTTCCTTGAAGTAGTACTGAAATGGAGCCTTTCTTTTAGGAAAACTGTTTTTTTAGAAAATACCAAATTCTGCTTTAGAAGTAGTGAATAATCTACCAAAAAGCTCTGATAAAACGTTCCAATGAATCATTATCCCCATTCTCTAAACTTGTAAACTTTTATTTCCTTTTTTTTTCAGTCTGAATATTTCTAGTTTCAGCTTTAAGCCACTGGATCTTGCTTTTTCTTTTACCAATAGATTAAAAAGCCCCTGTTCCCCAGGTACGCCAGTGAAGAATTAATTTCCTAAGCCTTCCCTAAGCGAGACGGAGCTTTGCAGCTGGTCACTGCACTTCCCAATCTTTAATCATTTTCAGATTTCTTCTCCGAACAACCTCCTTGATTTGTGAACACAAGATGGTGAGATACTACCGTGGAATATCCATCTAATAAACACAGGGGTAATGTATTTATGTTACTCAGTGATACTGCACTATGCCGGCGTCTGGAGCCAAGAACACCACCAGCACTCCCAGCCATCCGACATCACCGGGAGCTCGTCTCGGCTGCCCGCAGTGATTGAAGCTTCTCGGTCACTGTTTCCAGGGTCAGTGTAGGGGAAACTGTTCAGCGCAGACCACACACCCTGCTCTTACGCCTGTAACTCCTCACACACCCTGCAGTGCCTGCTGCTTGTGACCACCTTAAGAAGAACTCCAAACCACTCCAGCGGGCTGTTCTGTTAGTCATTGCTTGGGAAACTCTGGACATTTAGTCAATATCAGCAGAAAGCTGCGATTTTCTTTTTTGTTTCAAGTTTGTAGCAACGCAAGGAGAAGAACCAGCCCCTACAGGACCTCATCAGAGTAACCCCTCCTCGTTCAAAAATGTATTTCACACCTTCCAGTTCTCCAGCTTCACACCCACCTAATGTGAGCCATGTAAATACTGCACTGTTCTAATTTCTCACTGCCGAGTGAGCTATAGATCTATATTCCTTCTGCCTATCACCCACATACGCCTGCATTCTGCTTTCTCTGGGAGAATTCTGTAAAAGCACGCAACGAACACCCCTCCGGGAGGCTACGAATGTAGACCTGACAAACAGCAATCGAGCTGTGCACCAACCTTAACTACAGTTACCCCGATAAGCAGGTTTTTACAAACATTAACATTTTCAGGATGTCTCTCCCCAGCTTACTGAGCACAAACTTGAAAAGGTCACTGGTATGAAGAGCCTAATTTTTAAAAAAATATTTTCTAAAAAGGATGCAAGTCTGAACACTATATATGATTTATAAACAGAGAAAGTATCAGTCTGCTCTTTGGACTGTGAAATGCTGAATTTTCTCTCTCCTAGCAGAACATCATACTTTGATGACTACACTCACCACATCTGGAGGAAGATCTTGTTCGGGGCCTCCTTGCAGGAATTCCGGGTTTTGTTCACACAATTCCATGTTTCTTTCGCCTGAGGATAATTCAGCGGGTGTGACTGATCTCGGCACAGGGAGTCCTCGACAGACTCATCCACAGCAGGATGAGTAAGAGCTTTTAATCCTCCTCAGGTGCCCACAAACCATGTCGCTGTAATCCACAGGAAAAACTCCAGAGCTGTGCCTCAGAGCAAGCCAGAGAAGGTTACCAACACATTAACCTCCCTTTTCGCTTCTTGAAAGAAAAATTAAGAGCTTTGAAAGTCAAAAACTTGTATTGCTCTTGGCTTTGAAAGGCCTAATTGTGAGACCAGAATGTTTCACAGGCCAAGTTTGAGAGATTTCTCTTGTAACTTCAGGCAAGACAGACTGCTCGCCAGCACCTGCAGTCGCTGGGCAGACGATGGCCGTTGGCCCGGAGCAGCCGGGCAGTGACCCACAGCCAGCGCAACCAGCCCAGGCGCTGACCTTCCCCAAGCAGCGCGAGGAAGGAGAATTTTCCTCCTCTTCCTACGACACCTTGTCCTCCACGAGGCAGCGGCTGTTTCCAGACCTCGCCTGTGATTCTGCAGGACTGCGGCCGCCAAAGGACACCTGCCCCTTGCAGACCTCGAGCTCCTCTGCCATTTCTGTGAAACTCTCCTCTGCTGCAGCACAAACCATGACCGCTGCGTGCACGCCTGCGTGCGTCTGTCTGTCTGTCTGTCTGCTGGGAAGCAACTGTGCAAGGTGGGGATTTTACTCTTCTTGTCTGCTGATTTTTTATGCTGTAACAACCTTCTTCAGAAAGCCAAGGGTATTTTGAGCTCAATAGGAAAACTCGAGGCCAATTAAAAAAAATATTTATATTATTTTAAAAATCCTCTTACAGCCCTGTATAAAAACAATCCAGCACCTCAGGAAGCTCTGACAGTGTTGCACAGGCAGGCATGCACTTTGATGTGACATTCTCTGGCTGCCTGAGAAAAGTAGAACCCCCAGCTGTGAAGATCATCTAACAGTAAAGACGGAGAACAGCTCTGTGTGCTCTGCAAAATACATATGTGCTTATATTACAGCATCAGGACAAAAGAATGAGGAACTATGGATCGCAGTTGTCAAGTTCAGAAAGCATGCCCTGATACTTGTTTTGGAGACATCTTAAAAGCACAAAAGAAGAGTTCCTGGTTCATTTTTGAAGTACCACCCTGCTCCACTTTAGTTTGCCCTCTTCTACTTACTAAGCCATTTTCCCATTCTCCACACCCCAGCGAGGCACTGCCAGCAATTTCGAGAGACCCAGGCGGAGGCCCGGGACAGGTCCATCACCAGACTCGGCTCCTGGTTCCGTTCTACCTGTTCACCCAAAGTGCAGAAAATGCAAGAGTGTCTCCATGCACCTACAGCACCCGATTCTTCACCCCTGCCTGTCCTCCAGAGCTGCTTTACGGCCTTCCTGGAACTCACCCTGCACCACTGCTGTCAGCGCTCAGCTTCTGCCACCTTCTCCGGGTAAAAACCTCGAGATTCCTCAGTCTCCTGTGACTTGTCACCTTCCACACTGCCCACAGCAGGGGCAAATATAACTTCATCCTGACAGCCTATCTCTATTAGTGGCATGTGTAGGTCTGAAAAGTCCAACTCATCACCTGGATCACTCTGCAAGCTTCTCAGGGCTGGCTTAGTCCTGGTTCAAAGAACGAGAAAGACTGGAATGGCAGCAGTCGCTCTCCTTCAGCATAAGAAATCTCTTTTGAAAAGCACTGTAAAAATCACTATTGAATTAACAGCTAATTCAGCACCAAGCCTTCTTATTTCAGACTCTGGAGGCTTTACCCACCCAACGCTAACCATCCAAAAGCAAAAGAGTTAAAGAAATGCATCACACGACGATAAGCATGAAAGTTCACCTGGCTATAGCGCTGTTAAGCCAAGCTCTAATGCAGCATTTCTACCACCACGTAACGTCAGAGGAATACACATGCTACAAATGCATCCATTAGAAAACGAAAAAGAAACCCAACTCTATCAAAAGCCAAGAGAGATTATTCTGCTGCATGGTAACAGAGGCCACCACCACCTCACACACAGAGAACTCTTCCAGTCCAGCGATAGCATCGCACTCATCGTCTTCGACTTTGTTTCAAATTAATGTGAATTATTTTGTCCACAGATATGGATAAGGAAGGAAATTTCAAGTTCAGAGTGTCCTGGGAATAGTATGGTATTAGAGATTCGTTCCCACTGTTAGAAGTCTTTGCCAAAAGCCCACAGAAACTTCAGGAAAACATCTCCAAGCAATGATCTAGTCATCACTCCAGAACACACAAAATCACTTAAAACTTAGTTAAACCACCAAAAGTCTCTTGGATCTTGCCATTAGTCAGTCTCTTAAGAACATTTACTACCCCGTGTTTCAACAGCGCGTCAATCTCCCTTCCCATTTCTACAAAAGCCATCTCCAGGTGCCGTAGCCATGAAAGCAACGCCCACACACCACACAGGCACTAACAGACAGCACTAGCCTGGGGTCACAGACAGCCCCAGAGCTCCGAAACACAAAGTGAAATCTGGCAGGGGATACGACAGGTAATAACGCTGCTTTACAGCACTGCCGGGAGCACTTTTGCTCCTGCAAGCAATGAGCAATCGTATCGTGAAGCACCAACGGCTGAGGCAGCCTTCAGTGTCCAAGGATAACGTCGGCAGGAACAGAACAGGACCTACATTCCTGAAGGCAACTGTATCTTTAAGAAGTTGGAGATGCGGTTTTATTAATTCCATGTGAAAATAAATCACCTTGGTGAAGCCTAAAATCGGCTACCACGAAACACTCTGGTCAAATTATTTTTTGAAACAAGGCCCACATGCCCTGTTAATTGCAGAGCAGTCTGTAAACGGTGTTTTCCTCTTCATCAAACACCCAGAGACACATCTTTGCAAACAAACTCCCGCATGGTGCAGCACTCACGGATGTGAGCACCTCTGTCACATCAGTTCTGGCAAAATTAGTGCATCTGCATTTGATCCTAATTCATGTAATATTCATCTCTCCAAGCTCTAACCTTAATCTCTGCGGTTCTCTACGCAGCACACAAACACCAAGCATTTCTTCCCCGCAGAGCAGCGAACACGCTCTAAACCCACCAGTAGATCAGCTGAAGTGTTTTAACATGGCTTAAGGTAAGATCCACTAAACTGAACAAACACCATCAACGTAACCACTCCAAACCCAGGGAAGACACAGATTGGTACAGGCGTCAAGAAACCTAAATTTTTGTGCGTTCTGCAAACGGAACAATCAGAGGCCGCTGAAAACACATCTACTGAAACGTGAACTGAAATGTGCACCGAAACCACCCAAACCCGCAGCACTTCCACACCAGGATTCCCAGAGATCGCATCCACGAGTGTGCTGACATCGTATCACACCATCACTGCACCGCAATGAACAGCCCCAAAGAAACACGTTCATGACCTTTTTTCTAGCATTTTCTCATGTGGGGCGTTTACCTGGCCCCTGGTGGTCTACTGCCTTTGTGTGCTCATGCAAGGAACCCACATTTTTTAATTTATGTATCTTATTAACGCAAACACGTTCAAAAAAGCCACTTCTGAGCCTTCCTATGATCTCTTTTGTTATTTGACAGCCATACCTTTGTAAGCAAACACTTTACACTTGACCTAAAAGGCAAACACTATTCTGTATAATTACAGAACTGCTAAGATTTTATGCACGCAGTCATTACTACAGTGAAACAGCCACAGCCTTGCCTAGGTTTGGATTCTGCTTGAACAGCATCAAATGGCCAACCACACAAGCACTGGTCCACGCAGTGAATTCATTACTAACCTTTTTCAAACAACGATCAACGCATAACTCGAATTACAAGTGGTTTATGGTATTTCTTCAAACAGTCCCAAGCAAAGTTCTACATGTGTCAACGCTGACTAATTTTTACAGACTGTTGCCCACAATACTTCAGCTGCTTAACCACTGGTGGGAAGGAGCTGTTACTATTTAGCTAAAAGTCAGTGTTCTTGTCAAAAACATGTCCACAGCCTGAGAGCAAAAACGGGTCCAAAAAAGAGCACAAAAGGCAGCAAGGCGAGCCGAGCGCTTTACCTCACTGTCTGGGCTGGGCTGGATAACCTCCCAGGTCTGCGAGTCGACGTCGTAGCAGTGCAGCTCGTTGGGCAGCGTGTTATCCGCAGCCCCGCCGAACACGTAGAGGTGCCGGTCAAACGCAACCATAGTGTGGCCGTATCTGCGCTGGGGAGGAGGAGGGGAGCCTCGCAGCAAGTGCTCGGTAGGAATTCGTGTCCATCTGGGGCATTGAACATGAAACAGTGTGGTTTTTTACAATTCTTATCTGCACAGTAAGTTTTCTAACTCTCAGATTGTAAGAGTAAAGAAGAGAAGCGCTATTACAGCACTTGTTGAACCTCCACGAGAACAGACAACAACTAATCCTGCGGATTTCTCAGCAATCTACATCAGCGCCGTGTTGCTAAACTTCTAACTGAAAATGCAGTAAAGGCAACACGGCTCCGTAGCCCAGATGCATTTCTGTAAAGCCCAGCAGCGGAGAGACCACAGCCAGGGAAGGAATTGGTGATCTGTTACCACACGTTGTAACAGCAAACCCTCCTAAGTCAGGGCACCATCGCGACACCGCACCCCGTCCCGGCAAGGCATCGCTCCCTCGCTGCGCTAGCACGATTTCAGCCGGGGTCTGGAGGCCGTCAGCTCCTCTCTCAGCTGCGGTTCCACTTCAGTCAGTAACCAGCAAGGGTCGACACTCTGAGCAAGCCACGCCAAATGTCTCAGACCAAACACACAAGATTTTACAAAATACTACGCATTTCACATTTCCCAGGGATTTCACTGTGAACCGGTATTTCTCAGGACCTCCCTCTGGTTTTAGCCAGGTATTCAAGTAACAGATTTTAGAAAAGTTAATATCTGGCATCGCATTCTGAATACCCTAAGATTCATACTTACTGTTTAAAGTGAATCTCCTAAAGTTTTTGTTCATCTGCTGAAAAAACCCAATCTGATGCACGTGGCAAATGACCAAGTCTCATGACAACAGTCCATATTTTATCTTATCTACCCTTCCTTGTCATGAGATGCAATATTCTTCCTCAGTACCCTTAAGTATGTGCATTTCTCAGCTCAAGTAGTCAAGGATTATGTGGATTTTGCGCGACTTAACTGTCTGCACTTACATCTTTTCCTTGAATTCAAACTGAAAGAGATTATTGGTAATCTTTGCTCCACTCTGGCCAGAGAAAACGAACATCTTGTCTTTGCAAACAGCCACGGGAAAATTACAGCACGAAGGTGGAATTTCACCACTTTGTTCAATCTGAAAGATAATGAAGTTCAAAATTAAAAATGAATTATTGTAGCGCACAGCTACGCACGCTGAGTAGGCCGCAGGCCTGTGCTGCACGACGGCGGACAGACAGACCGACCACGTGGCAGCAACCAGTGCAGACAACCAAGCTCCTCTAAATCTGGCTACAGGCAATCAACTAATGCCGTGCTTACACGTCTGCACGGACTGATTTTACCACAGATAAAAAGGATGGGAAGCCACATTTCTGAAGCCCCTGCCACCGTAAGGATCAGGACTCTGCTCCTGCCAGCCAGGCAGCAAAGCTCCAGCCCATGGCAGTGGTTAAAGCTGGAAACGCAGCCCCTCTTACAGGGGACACAGCACAGCCACCACCGGCATCTCGGGCTGCTTCACAGACTCACAAGCAAAAGTCACTTCCATATACGCTTGCTTTTCCAGACAAAGAAAATCAAATTTGAACTGTTTTTTGTCACCTGCATGACAAATCCATTCTGAAGAGAAAGCAGTACAATCCAGCACAGGAAATTTTCAATAAATCTGTATGAATATCAAAAAAGAAAGCTCTCTGTGTTAGCTCAAATTCAAGGTTCTTACCTCTTCCCAGCAGGTTAGCTCTCTGTCCTGTAGGCCAATTGTCCACATATCATTTAACCTGTGTTAAAAAATGCTTGATTTGAAACCGTTTATTTTTGCTAATTTTCAGCTCATAGAGTTGAAAGGGCAGAGATCCTTTTTTATCAGCATTCCTTCTCCTGCACAGGAAGAATCTGCTACTTCCACTAACAGAAAAAACTATTATAATCTTTTTGTCCTGCACCTAAATACTACACCACCACCTAAGCTTGCTTTAGCATCCTTCTGGTTACAAGTACACTACAGCTACCAGTTACACACAGCAACTCTGCCGGGAGCTTAAGGATTTGAGCTAGTTAATCTTGAGGATTCTTACAGAAACAGCCTGTATTGCCCTGCCTTCTCCCACCCACCCCTGCTGACCCCGGAGACCGACCACAGCAGGTATTTCTGTGGCTGAATCCTACCTGAAATACCTAAAAGAGGACGACGCCGGTAACCTGACACATCACTGACTACTCTGCATCTGGCTGTGCTTTTCCCCGTCCAAGTTACTCACAGACAACTACTGATGCTTCCTTTGTTCCAACCTGCCTGGAGGCTCATGTTCCACAAAAAGACATTTTTAACATGATTAGACATATTTAACATAAATTAGACAGCTTCTCTCACCCAGTCCCTCCTTCCAGCTACCCAAGGCCCCTGGGGAACAACCTAAGCTGGAACTGAGCAATTCCACAGTCACGCATCTCTCCTCAACTCCTCCTTCAGAAACAAAGCAAAGATCCCATCTGTTTTTCCAATTAGCAATAGTTCTCCCGGAGACTTTGAGGAGCCAATAACTGTTCTGCAGATCTTCCGCAGCAGAGGCGGCAGCCCAGCATGTTGAGGCAGCTCCTACTTTGTGAAAATCTCTGTATGCTCTCATGATGCAAATATTGTGCATTGATATCAAATACTTCTCAAGTTCATCAGGACAGAGGAACACTATCCATTCAGAACAGATTCTTCCCTGACAGACTCACAGCAAACGTGAAGAGCTGCCACCTGGGACAAGGCATCAGACTCTCCCTAACTTCTCAGTACCACCCATTTCCACTCTTTCCCCAGCCAAAATCTCCTCTCCCTTCCTTCTAAATAATCTTAGTATTTCAGTGCAGCATCCCACCCAGAGTATCCCATGTCTCCAGAGGAAAAGCTGACACGTTGCTTTTAGTTCTGCCTTACGACTTCAGAGAATATCCCTACTTTATTCTCTAGGTCTTCAGCGACATCAGAAGGGCTGTGGCAGATATCTTTTGAGAAACGCTCACTTGCCAAATTTCACAGACCGTTTAGCATCTCGACAGCCAAGCAGGCTGTCACACTACACGTCCACAGCCACTCTGGGTCACCAGGCTGTCAGGTCTTAAACATCTGATTTGAACATGAACTGGTGAATTGCAAAAATCTAACGCTCGACAACGGGCTGGGCTTTGCAACGTTTAGGTGACGTGTTCAAATCGTTTGGTACATGAAAACGTCTCTACAGAGGTGAAAAGCGAGGGACTGGGATTGCAGAAAAGCACCAAGGAGAGAGCGATCCCACCACGTACCGTGCATTGCCGTCATAACCCGCAAAGATCCACAGCTTATCACTGTACACCGTTGCGCCATGAGCTGACCTCGCAACTGGCAACCTGCAGTGGAGTAAATGAAGAAAAAAGAAAACAAAATCTCAAGCCACCTGCAGAGGTGCTGTAAGAAGGATCTGCATAACAGCCAGAATGCACCTGTAAGAAGAATAAAGTCCCCTGCACAAAATGGCTTCAAGCCAAGAGATTGCTCCTGTCACACAGTCTCAGAGCACAAACCAAGCCTCCGGAGGGCACATCGCAGAATTTTACTTCCTTCGTTAGAGAAACATCACCTTCATGTATACAGGAAAAAAAAAGAAAAAAAATCCCAATTAATTCCTTGCCAGGCCTCAACTATCCTTTGTAGTTTCACGGAAAGTAGCCAAATAGTCAGACACTAACAGCGCTATCCTCACGGCAAAGCAGCACTCCACTCCTGCAGAATTTCGCTTGTGCAAGACCCCATACGTCCCCTCCTGCACTAAGAAGGTGGAACACACAGATCAGAGCCCAGACAGAGCTCACGGTGCTTACGCAGGCCTGTTCGGCACGGCCTTCCTGAGATGCAGTGCCCACAACAACCGACCAAACCTACGATTTCTCTTCCCCAGTCTTTGCTGGTTTTACCAAATCAGCCAAGAAGGGCTGAACAAAACCGTGATGCCACGAGGCCAGCAGATGGAACGCTAGCTCGTCCGAGGGCATTTGTGCGGTACGCACACTTGTAACCGTGGCGAAAGACAAGGACATCTGAGTTTGTAAAATACCAGTAAGAATTACTCTGCAGAATGTCCGAAGTTGCTAGAATAGCCAGAAAGAGAAATCACTAATGCAGTCTATGTTCTCAAACATAACGTACGCTCATCAGAGGTGAGCAACAGTAACTCGAGAATGGACTGTGCATTCCTCATCTCTTTCTACAAATCCCAACAACAAACGTTCCCTTCCCTCTCCCCACGAAAACCGGCATTTCAAAAACCTCAAACACGTAATGAACCGTGGCTAAAGACACAGCAGGTCCCATATGTGGGGGTGGTAAACATTAAGCAGTCGCGTTAAGATCAGTGTCCCGGATAACATCCTGAAACGGGCACAACGTCAGCTTTAAGAGGTCACGCATTGCTGCTTTTGATTTTGCCTTGGAAAGCTCAATCTCAGGACCTTGCGTTCAACAGATCCAAAGACGTATCACCAACTCATTCACCCGCTTCTGAGTTTCTTCAGGTGAACACACATCGCCTTCAGGTGCCTCAAGCACGTGTGTGCATCTCAGCGCACTCCAAGAAAGTCGAACTTCATTCAGAAAAGAATGAGTAGATTAACTACAAATAAGCTTCAAATTAGTTCCAGATAAAACTAAACTGAAACTACAAGGGATCACCAAATTTCATGCACCCTTTAAATAGAAACAATTCAAAAGAAGAAATTTCCTTTGCTCCCATCCCTTCTGTCACAGCAATGAAACACGAAGAACGGATTTTGCTCAACCTTCCAATACAGTATGCCCTGGAACGGAGGCCTCGCAAAAAAACTCCTTCAGAACAAAAGACAATTTTCAGAAAACTTCTGTCAAGGAAGCAGAGGTAGAAATCATCCTGCAGCCTTAATATTAGCACTGTAACGAATTCTAACTGCGTCATGTTACACTCCAGCCCCCCTGCAGAGTGGGGTAACGATGCCAGCTCCTTACCTTCCCTCAGTCTTCCACTCTGTCCACTGTCCAGTTGCAAACTTGTATTCAAAGAGATCATTTTTATTCTTCAGGTTGGAATTAGAATAGATGTCTCCAGTATAGCCACCTGGGCAGGAACAACGCCATTAGACTCGAACGCAACGGAGCACGCCTGCTTCTAGACGTTACATGAGAAGAAAACTTCAGTTGATTGCACAAAGAGCAGGTGTTCGGCTAATGGACTACGAGACTTCTCCTCCACTCCTACCCCTAAAGAAACACCATGGGGACGAGTTTCAAGTCTTCTTTACTTTGGAGAAGACAGCAAAAGTATTTCCAAGCTAAAGCTGAAATCACAGTCAGCCATGAAAAATACTGGATTTGCTACTAAGATTTTTTGACACTTCCTAAAAATATCTCCTACTTTTTTCAAAACAATAAAAGCACGTTTATCATTCCAAGCACGCACAACGGCAGTCTGCCGCTGCCTTACCAAACACAAACATGCTGCTCCCGTAGACCACAGCTGAGTGGTGATACCGCGGTGCTGGTGGGGTCCCCGTGGTAAAAGCCCTGCGCGACATTTAGAACAGCAGCAATCAGACACTCTCGGTACGCCTCAGGCACTCAAAGCTACTGCGCAGATTCAAGAAAGAAACAATTGTTAAAAGTTATTCTACTGTTTCTGCGTGTTTTCACTAGTTTTGGTTTCTTAATTCTGCTGTCGAAGATTTTAGGACAGATTTAGCACTACGAGCACCAATGGCTACGAACATGACGCTGCTGGAATGGGTTTGGCAGCGTCACAGAGTGCTCTGGGCAGGAAGGGACCTCCAGGGG